ATAATAATAATTGGAACGCTTTCATTTAATTTCTGTTTTCAGGCTTGATTTCCGCTGATCCCTCGAGTACGCGAGTCCGGTCGACAAGTGCGCGCGGGATCCTGAACAGTGGCTAGTAATCGAACCTCTTCCGTTTTAAGTGGTATATTTTAGGGGTCCAATGAAGCTCAAGCAACGTCTACAGTAGTCTCCCTTTGGAGTTAAATTCAAATTATCCGACGAACATCCCTTGCCTTTTCATATGGGAGTTCCCCGCCCCCCCCCCCCCGGTTTCCAAATGTCTAACGGGAAGTGAAGGAGTGATGGAGTGAAATCGTTCCACTACTACAACTTGGAAAATAATATTTTCCAAGTTAAAAATGACTAATGATCAGCCCAATTTAATGCACCGGGCAAATTGAATTTCAATTTGAGAGGTTACAGTCAGTCAGCCAGTCAGTCAATTAGCCAGCCAGCCAGTCAGCCAGTGAGTCAGTCAGTCAGTCAGCTGAGTCAGTCAGTAATCAGTCAGTCGGTCAATCGGTCAGTCAGTCAGGGAGTCAGTCTGTCACTCACTCAGTCAGTCAGTTATTAGGAGTGTCCCCGATTAGTCGGCCTCCGGGCTGACTAGAAGTTTTAGACACTTAAATAAAGTTTATTGATTGATTGATTCTGGATGATTTTTGTTTTATCGTACTATAACCTGTATATTTTAATGTTTTTACTTGCATAAGTGGCCGGTGGGTTTGTCACTAGCTTCGTAGGGTCTTTAATGCAGCAAACGTTTGATAACATAACCAAGCCGCTTGATTGGAGAAATGCACTGGAAAGTGGAATCAGTGGTGCAATTTCCTCAGCCCTTCCTCCGCTTGTTCGTACTCGAGGTAAATCAGGTAACTTGTAGGACGTTTGAAGTAGAGGTTACCAAGTGAGGTGCGATAGCCTCGTAGCTGAGTGTGAGTTCATGTGCATTAAAATCGTCCTTCGTTCTTTACAAACTATACTCGTGATTTGCACTGCTTACATCAAATTCAGACGAGGAGTATTTTATCGTTTTTACTCGTTTTCAACCTTGATGATTCTTGTTGTGTTGTTTCAATTCTCCTTTCTTCTTTTAAAACCAATATTCGATATTTTGCAATAATTTTCCTTTCCACTCGTAACTTCTTTTCCCACTGTATTACAGTGCATCTTATGTAGCCCGCCTCAAAACATTATAACTCACTACAACAGTACATAATTTCCTCCAGAAACATCCACTTAGACTTTAAACTACATGCGATCTCATCACGCGTCTTGGTTGGTCGTTTAACCCTTTGACGCCTAAGGAGCCATATACGGCTGCTTGATGGTCGTGCTCTTTGTACCACTTGTGACGTCATCAATTTAAATGTCGCCAGATATTCTTGATAAGTAGATATTAGAGCTAGGATAGATCTATCCGCACAACAGTCGGTTTTGGATATCGACGGCATTCTGACGTAACAAATTGAAAAAGAAAACAAAGGTATCAGTTGGGAGCAAAAATGGTGGTAAAATGACCCATTATACCTTCGATTGATCAAGGTCCCATTTCTAGGCTTTGCCCATAATTAACACCCAACTTTTTACGGCAGCCAGAAAGAATATGAAATGCAAAAGATAGCGAGAGTAAAAGGGCCTAGAAAAAGGAAAGGAAAAAGGCAATAAAAAAATTCGGAACGGGCAATCGCAAAATAAGTCCAACTGATTTTAGCTCATAGACCAAATTTAAATATTCTGCATTTTTGTACCTACTCTTGGGGAAATCTATCTGTTTGGTAAAAAAATATATTAAGGTTACTTCCCACCTTCAAGGACACAAAAAATCGATTTTTCTTTTATCTGACAACATTTAAGGCAGTCATTTTATCTAAAGTTTACAAGAGAAAAATACTAAGAATTTCAAAAAGCGTCCGAGTTTTTTTAAAAAAACGTATTTTCAAATTAAGGTGTCATAATCGCTTAAATGGATGAGACCGCCCGCCCAGGGGAATTTTCGCGGGAAACGCTCATCTTGGAGCTCGTATTTCATGTTATTTGGTATTGTTTATATCGTGCATTTGTTCTTTTGCCTTTGGCTACTTTGTTCGTTTTAGTGTCTTTCTCTTCAGTGCGACAGCGAGATAGTAAACATATGGCAATGCGATGCTTTTCCCAGGAAATCCTGATCCATTGCCATTGACGCTAGGAGGTCCTGTTGTTCAATTGGTTTGCGATTTCATAAGGCGAGATAATCTCCTGGCGTGGCGCGAGTTGTTTACGAACCTTTACGAGCTAAAATCTCGCATTTCACTTTGGGAGGAATACATCCACTTTGAGCGAATTTATGGGGTATGCAGATTTGACGAATTTTGAAATTTCACCAGAACATTCCAGGAGTAGTGACAAACGAAAGTGTGTCGGGAAATCTGGATATTTAACATATTTTTCCCGTGGTGTCAATTTACGCAACACGTCTTGCATATTTAGCCACTCCAGCTTTAGATGCGGATACCTATAGACAACCAATCAGAATATCGAAAATGCCCGATACACTTTTGTTGATTGATGCCTTGTGAATAAGACTGTGCAGCCATTTCGCTCGTGTGGTGGCGTCCGATAGCCGATAAATTCAATAGAAGAACCATCGGTTGTTTCACGCCTGACCGGCTGTTGAACCTTCCAAATTTTGGCTCATGCGCATGCGCCCAATTAAAATATTTTACATTTTTGTACCTAATTTCGGGGAAATCTATCTGTTTGGTAAAAACAAAATTGCTTTTTCAGCAAAACTAAGGCCCAGTTAGCATCATGGCAGCCAAGAAACGGATTTAACGGTTAAAAACGGCATTTTTTGGTGACAATTTGGTCGTGAAAGGGTTAAGCAACAGTCATATGAAGAATTCGTCAGGTTTCAAGTCTGAAAAATTTGCTATTGTTACGATAAAAGTGCTTATTAATATCTGGATTCTCTTCATCGTGACCTCAACTCCAAATATTAGTAGAAAAAAATTAATTTTCTGTCATTTTCAGAAGGATCTAAGCCGCTGCAAGCTTTTATTTCCAGTTTTGATGACAAGACCATTAAAAACCTGCTTGTGCCAAAAGTTGTAAACTTGCTCTTCAATTTCACCATCGAGTGGGTGCGCTCCTTGGATCCGGTGGGTCATTTACCAGCTGTGTTACAATACTGGTGATGTTAGTTTTGAGAATTTGGTAGTACATCAAGACAGTATTCCCTAGTGGATGGTTTAATGTAGTTTCGTATCGGAATGCAATGTTGAATAACTCAGTTACGAATTCTATAGTTTTCAACATTCACAAATTCTAAACTTTAAATTTCTTTAGATTTCTAAAGGATCAATGTACGGAACGTGCACCTGTATTGGGTATCTCAAACTTTAATTTGTTTCTCCCTTCATGTAGAACGACATGATCGGTCCTCCAGGATACGGAGACGCGCGCTTTATTTCGCTGAAGGCACCGCTGAACTACAAGATCAGATTTGAGAACGATCCTAATGCCACCGCCCCTGCACAGCACGTGATCATTCTACATACACTGGACCAAGACTTGGACATCCGCACATTTAGAATTACAGGCTTTGGGTTTGGAAACTTCAATAAAAAGCTGTCGAATTCTAGGGCTTCTCTTCAGGTAAGAAAACTTGTAGATTGATCCTCCAGCCTCTTAACCAATTGAGTTAGATCACCAAACAGAATTGGCTTCCTGGTGAGACCCTGTATACTATCTTCATTGAAGTGGAGCAGAGTTTATTCGAGTTAAAAAAAACCTAAAGCGATCACAATAGACAATAATGACAAGCAAAAGCAACATAAACAAGTGTGAGTTCGAATGAAATTCCTCAAAGCGCATGTCTAAGTCGTGATTTGCTTTGGCTTTGCATCCGATTGATTGAGTCGATAGCGTGAGTTTTCTTTTAACCAATCAAAAAGCGCCTAGTAAAACAAAGCTAACTGGGCCAATACACACTTTTCAGACTGAATAGAGCGGTTTTAAATTGAGTGCATGTCGAAAGTAATCAGGCAAGTACGTTGGAGCTGGTTTTGGTTTTGTTTTACTACGGTTTGAGGATTTTTTTTCCCCTAACATTTTATTATTATCACAACATCACGTACATCACTTTCACTACAAAACGTAAGGTTAAAAAAATTACATTACAAGAAGTAAGATTACAACTAACAC